AGAGAAAGAAGCAAAAAAACTTTTAGTATTCTGAACAGAGACCTTAGCAGCGGGCGCATTGGACGAGTTTGTCGTACGTCGGCAAGCCCAATCCCAGTATTTGGAGTGCAACCAGTTCCTGGCAAGAGCACAGAATATCGCTCTACGACGCTCCAGGCAACGCTAGGTGCACACGGAATTCCTCTTGTAAGCCGTTGTCTTGCAGAGTTAATGTAATCTGGTTGCAATGGTTGCAGTAACCACACGTCTCAATTCTTTTTCTCGCAGTAACGAAAGTGGTTTCTTTTTTGCGGAATCGGACAACGATACCGATACAACGATACCGATAAATTGCTGGTCATGTCAGAGAATCAGAAAGCGGGAATAGAGTTTGCTTACTGTCTGTTTACAGAACACTAAACGACTGGGACCCACCTCCGCCACACCAACGGAAGAGCCTTGGTTCTGCTGAATGACTATCTTTCATATTTCATAATGTCGGATTCAAATGAGATGAATTTCTTCCGACGAAATGACAACTCAACTTCCGCCTCCTAGTTGTTCTGTGGTAGTCAGCAATTTTTCAGTTAGACGTCTTCCATTTGTTCCCCCGTGACCACTCTTCTTCCAGCATCCCGCCAATTAACATAAACCCCATTGGCATTGGCACACGAAAATTGGCTGTGATACTGTCGCAAATATGGATAAAATCGCGTCGAGAACTGCGGAAAACGCCTATATTATAGCTATGAATCTCAAAAGTAAATCTCTGGCTCTCTAAAATTTTCACTATGACCTTTTTCGAAAGAAATCCATCATGAACATGATAGACAGCGTGCGTTTCAGAAGGTTCACAACCCTAGGGATGGTGCACCCCTCCGCTTGGGCTCCCTTCACTTTCATGGCAGCAATGGTCCCTCAAATTCGTAATGCTTGAGCATTATTGTAATCCGCGCTCACTGCAAATAGTTGTTTTATTATAATAAGTGCTGCTTACGCTGCAGTTCGCGCTACGAAAGTTTTTACAAGAACGCTTACGGGCGACGGTTTATGCCACAGACTTCACTCAAAGCATTTACGGTTCCAGGGCTATAGCTTTACAGCCCTCAAAGGTGAATATGATGAGCGAGTCAGCCGATGTAGACAATGAATCGCGAGCTTGAAGGCTTAACATGCCTTGATTTTAGCATGATCGTCTGATCGGCTCATCACCTTATCCGAGTGACTGCTGTAAGGCTATGACACAGAAACCATAGGGATGAAAGGGCTCTGGTAGCGTACAGCGTACCTCATAGCGCCCGAGCTGCAAGTGAGAGATGCAGGTTCGAGCCCCTGCTATGGCCAATACCTTTGCACTAGTCAGCTCAGTTGTGGTTACGGATTGTCGTTGTCGGAAAAAAAGTAAATAGCTCATTTGAACATAAGTTCCTCGTCACGCTGGGTTGCGCATTTGAAGAACCCGACTTGTTTGACAGTTTTCACAGCTTTCACCATATAATGGCTTTCCTACGCCTTTATATGCATTGCTTAAGTATATACCAGCTACAAAAAACTACACATTGAAATATTTTTATGCCAGCGATGACAAGGAATGGACCTGTCGTCGGGGTATGAGGAACATAAAGTGTACCGCGTTAATATAACATTGAGGCATAATGGAGTCTATGATTAGGCGATGTGCCTTAAAATGTCACGTACCTCCCCTCTGCATTAACCTCTGGTTTTATGCGATCTATTTCCTGCGCTTCCATTCTTAGCACTGTCTCAGCGCTGAGGATGATAGGTTAAAATAAACGGAGATCCCGTCCATTTTGTGCCTGCCTTCGTGCTGCCATGCTCATTCGTTGAATCTGCTATCGCAAGACAGGATTAAGGAGCTAACTTGGAAGTGTCAAGACAGAGATCTACTCCCATTGACCTACTTTTCCAGGCGCTGGAGCAGCTCTAATGTTCTGAGCTATTTTCCTCTCCCTCTGTGCCAAATATCTATGCAGTACACTCACACCGACGAATGGAGTATTACTCGCATGCGTATGGGTACGATGCGGGCGGAACAGCTTCGTGGATAAGCAGCAGGGTTGGTCAACGCTCTTCTGTGCTCGTCCAGATGACGACTCTGCAGAGATAGTCTGCCTGACAATATATTTCCCCGCTTCCATTGTACTGATTCAGATGATTGCTGTGAAGTTCGCAGTTTTTTTTCTGATCAGCAGTAGGATTGGTAGTGAAACTGGCTTTCACAGATTCCTGGAAGGTGTTGGAGAGCGTTTAGTATAAGCAGAAGACGGAAAACGAGACATGGAAAGTTGGGAGTTCTAAAGGGTGCGGTTCACCTCATGTGCCATTTTGTCGTGAACGGAAGTCGTTACATTTTGACGTTAGGTATGTGCGGAATGACGTTAGGTATGTGCGGAATGAAAGCTCGAAACAGCCAAGGACCCCAAACACATTACGCCTCATGCGATGAAGCTCAGAGATAGCAGTAGCTTGCCATAAGCTCTGGAGTTTATTTGCAACGGTGGGAGGGTACTTTCCATCCTTGGTTAGTGGAGACTGTCCTCTGAGGCTCCTGCAAATGGATGTATCATGACTTTAAGGAAGTTTTCAAGCCCCTCAAAGATCGAGGTACTTTTCGACCTATCCCATATTATGAGTTCCTGTAGGGCCACTCAGCCGTAGTCGAGAAAGCTAACACCACGCTGTCTTAAGGAAGGATTTCGCTTAAGGAAGAATATCGCCTGTCCAGAGCATAGCTTTTGCATCAGCGCTTCCAAGCTGGACTTATTAAATTCGGAGGTGGGCAATGTATAGGTCGGCCACCAGCACAGAATGACGGCCGTTTACTCAAGCTTCTTGAGGTGCAACCAAACGTGACTACCAGTAAGTTGGCTCTCTGGGCTCCACCTACCTGATAAGCTCACTTCTCCGCAATCTCGGTTATCGGGAAAATTTTTTGTGAAGGATGCCTCATGAGTTGGACCCGTCTGACAAGTCATACCGAATGACCGTGACTGAGTTTTTTTCCTTGTACACACTGGAAGAACATTTGTGAGATCTTGTGGTTGGTAGCGAGTGTTGGAGTCCTTGCGTAAACTATGCACACATCCCTCGCAGGATCTCTCAAGGAGAAAAGTAGATTGCTTAGCCAAAAGCAGATGTGCATGGGATAAAGATTTCAGTGTGTTATTGGTGGGACTTCAAGCGGTATCGCTGGATACTAGCACAGCTGTAAGGACACAGTCTACTCTAATCAACTTCAAAACATGGATGACGTCACGCTTGAATTCATTCGGAAACACTCAATTTTTCTCTACTAATGTGGGGGTCAGGTACGCCAAAAGATCATGGATCTCGATCAGGGAATGCGACCGTACCCAGCTTATTTACCAAAGTAGCAGCCTCTAATTACCACCTCCTTTGGTCCCTACCGCATCCTTTAGAGAGCAAAAATTCCGAAAATCTACTCGAAAATGAGGTCCACCTCTTCTTTTTATCATAGTTGCCGTAGTTCTATAAGAATGGAAATGAGAAGCTGTGCAAAAGGTGGGCACTAGTCCTAGTCATTAATGGTGATTACCTTGTAGATTGGAAATGTCTTTTAGTGAAGGAAAATTTGGTCCGAAAATTCGGTCAAAATCTCGCAGGACTTTCCGTCCAACCTAATAATATGAAATCTGAGGCCAAGTGGTGAGCTTTGAAAGAAGCCTCTTGTCAGTTGAATTTTTGCAGCTGCGCTGAATTCCAACATATTACTGTAGAGCCTTCCGAATCTGAAGCTCAGAAGCTCGGTGGTACTATCGCGATTTAGGCGCTGAGAAACGGTGGGAGACCTCTTCATTTTAGGCCGTTTAAGACCTATAGAACAAGACAGACTAGTATTACTACTTGTCGCTCAGTGGAATCTCAGTATTGTTGTTAACTGCAGTGCGTTTATTTATGTGCCAACGAAGTTCCCATGTAAAATCTTTAACAGTGGCTCAACCACTCAGCTAGCTCAACTTTCATAGATTCTGCTCGGAGGTCCGAACATGGCTGAAGTTTAAAAGTTGCTCTCTTATGCCTCTTCTCCTAGGCTCTCCATCAGGAAGCCAGTCTAACATTACTTGTAAGTGAAAGGAACTTGCACGTTTCACAGCTGACTAGTGCATACACAGGAGTCAGGGTGAGGTTGCTTTCCACAGCTCGCAACGCCACACCCGACTGCCCGGACCACTTAAGTCACCGAGCAATAACCGACCATCAAAAGTGACTCACGCACTCCTCAACTTACCAATTCATATTTTATTTAGTTATTCTTGGAGTGGTGAATTGATGAAATGTGAACCCACTAATTAGTTGTATTCTCTGATTGTCAAACTGCACCACGTATGCTCCTTTTATAGCTGCTTACAGTTCTCCAAGAATTTTTCAATTTTACGGTCTCCATGTCCGCAGCAACAACCCCCTCTGGAGCAGGAATCTGGAATCAAGGAGACGACAAGGCCAGTATCTAGAGCAACAAGTAATATGGGTCAGATTTCTTTGAATAAAAATAATTTCCTCACAACCATGGAGACTTTTCGAAAAAACTGCACCGTAAACAACACCTCATTCCAAAAAGAAGTGTTTGTAAGACCCCAACCGGGGCATCCTATGGACAAATTCCAGAGTGTCTTTTCACTCTGAATTGAAGTCGCTTTCAGTCAATAGTCGGGCGAATCTACAGGCTGGCAGCATGTCAGTTCTTGCAGGTCT